AGTTTCTTTGTATCTGTGGTCATATTCCCATAGATCAGGCTTAGCCTGGGCCATTAATGACTGACATATGAAATGATCTCATATCATGGAGTTGTGGGGCAATTTGAAACTCACCTTCTACATATGTGGGAAAGGACGCAAGGCTTCTCCTGGACTGTAAATGAAAAGACAAAAGTATGTTAATTGTTAACTGTGTGAGTTGACTACTGAACGAGTAATCCAGTGTTGACCTCACCTCTTTACTGGTGGGAGAGGTTTCAAAGCTGTCGTGCTGTAGCAGGTGCTGACTGGAGGACTCTGCTCCTGGTGGAGAAGGTGACGCTGAACCAGGCGACTGCAAAAGAGAATGAAAACAAGCACAATAACAAACACATTTTAATGCAGATCTGTGATTTCTTACTACGTAGAACAACATTCAATTCAGTCTTATTTACAGTGCTAACTTTACATCGTAAGGTAAAGAGCCTACAGTTTAATAAAGAAATCTGACCAGTCACACAACCCCTATGAGCAAGAATTTGGAAGTGGGAAAGAAAAACTCCCTTTTAAGATAAGATAAGATAACCTTTATTAGTCCCACATGTAGGGATGGGTACCGGTATCGTCCTGACATAAACGGTAGTAACCAGACCGAAAAGCAGCGCACATTTCGGTGCTTTTTTTTCCTGAGCTGTGATACACTTTGAATTCTAGCCAATCATTTTACGTTTCCGAGGATAGTAGGCGGGTCCAGGTACGTACGTTCTTTTAGAGCAGAGCTACAGATTAAAAATGCCCAAGGCGAAGCGGTCAAAAGTCTGGCTGTACTTCACAGCAAAAGATGCAAACTCAGCAGCCTGCAACAAGTGCTTTAAGCTGATACTGTGATACTGTCAAAGGAGGTAACACCTCAAATCTGATGAAACACCTGGCGACGCATAGCGTTTTTTTTAAAAGCCGAGAAATGCGCCGTATTTGATAGCTTGCTGCGAGACCTCACACCGAGCACATCTACTGCGGGTGGGTTGCCTGTTATCGGACCCGGAGTTAGCAACATCCCCCAAAAACCCGAAGAGGAGAGTCCTGGCCCCTAGCCCTGCCAGTGTAGCAGAAATGATGAGGATGATGATGCAGCAGCAGCCGTTCTTCTCTGCGTGAGTAGGCTAACCACGTTATTACCATACCATACCACCTTTATTTATTAAGCACTTTAACATAAAACCAGAGTTCACAAAGTGCTGTACATGCTAATAGCATAAGTAAAGAAAATTAAAATGAGATAAGATAAAATAAATAACTAAAAAACTAAAATAAATTGAAACATGTTAAAACAAATTGAGTCAACCCCTCTAATCAATGCCAAAGGCTTCAGCGAATAAATATGTTCTAAGAAGACTTTTAAATTCAGAGAGAGAAGAGGCCTAACATGCACGGGCAGATCATTCCACAACTTTGGAGCAACTACAGCAGAAGCACGATCACCTTTAGATTTATACTTAGTTTTCGGTACCTTAAGGAGCTGCTGATTGGCGGACCTAAGGGAACGGGCAGGTGTATATGGTTGTAGTAGCTCCGAGAGGTAGGGGGGGGCAGGCCATTAAGAGATTTAAAAGCAAATAAGAGAATTTTAAAAACAATCCTAAAATGTACAGGTAGCCAGTGGAGTGAAATTAAAATTGGGGTAATGTGCTCAAACTTTTTTGTTCCAGTTAAAAGACGTGCTGCAGCATTTTGCACAACCTGCAGGCGCCTAATGGACGCATCACTAACCCCAAAATAGTTTAAGACTTGCCTCTATTTTAACTCCCAGATTAGTGATGACTGGTTTAACATACTGTGCCAGTGAACCAAGATCTATAGTAGTGGCCTCAGAAGCGCCACCAAAAACCATCACTTCTGTTTTCTGTTCATTAAAATGTAAAAAGTTCAAAGCCATCCAGGCCCTTATTTCATCAAGGCATCTGAGCAGCGGGTCTACTGAGAAGCCATTTATCTTTTTAAGTGGGAAATAAATCCACTTAAATTACATTAATGCATGTAAGGTGAACTAGCAAACAGCGTCGTAGTTACATGCGGCTGTCTTCTTGTTTGATAGAGTGAAACCATATATGCCCCATAGCTGCAGGAAAGGCTATCATTGGTATCTTTTTACAAAAAAACAGCTAAACATGAGAGGTTTTAGGACAAAGTTTGTGTTCTTCACTCTTTAAGCACCGGCACCGTTCCAAAAGTACCGGTTTGGCACCGGTATCAGATAAAACCTAAACGATACCCATCCCTACCCACACGTGGGAAATTAGTTTTGTTACAGCAGAAACAGGATGAAACCAGGCTCAACAATCATCTGACACTACTGATTGGGTGTGAGGGGACAGAGAAGAGAGCGAGAGACGGCATACAGTCCAGGAATATTTTCAGTCATGGAGTCTCTGAACTTCATGAAATCATCATTAAATCTCAGTATTTTTTCTTCACCACCTTTTTTATTCTCACAGTTAGTATGTGTGGATTATTTCTTCCTTAGGTTTTAAAGATAATCAGTTAATACATTTTCTTTTTCTCTGGCCGATCGTTCAAATGTCACCAGTTAGTGTTGTTTGCTGAAAGTCAGGGATAGGTACTCGAACCTTCATTGTAACTGTCAGGGGATCTGTGTTGGTATTACCATCAAAGAGTATCGGCAGAAGAAAACCCAAAACAAGTGATTCACAGGAAATTAAAACAATGCAGGTTCAGAATTCACATTGAAGCAGGTTAACAGTATTCATTAAATTAAAAAAATAAATAAATAATAGAATCCATTAGAATTAAATGCACACTTCATGTACATCTTCAAAACCCTTCAGTTGTTCGTTTCTTATTCATAGAAACATACAAGAGCTCATCATGGAGGCGCAATGACGGCCTCTGATCAGGATAAAAGAGACACTCGGACAAGAAGTTTATAAAAAACTAACTAAATGTAAGTAATAAAAAATCGACACAGATATGACATTTTGTGTAGTTAGGGTTACTTGTAACGCGTTACTGCCCATCTCTGGTCATTCCACTGTACTTCCTTTTCCCTTTAGATGTTTAAGCTGGATGATCTGATCTGGAGTGAAGTGCAAACTGTAGATGTCGCTGTGAGCAGTGACAGTGAAACTGTTACAACGAATACTCACTCACCACCGTCTTCTTTATTCAGGACCAAACGCAAACTTAAAACTCCAGTATATTTGGATATGATATGAATTTATACAGAACTCTGACAGCTGAGAACAGCACCACCGCCTGGCAGCACCTGGGAATTGGAGTTATGGCATTTATCATGGCAGTGGAGCTGGTCATGCTGGCGTCTCGGTGGCAACGCAACATTATGTGAAATTATTATTCTGTGTACTTCTGCATATTTTTACATTTCAGTTAGTTTTAAAATCACACAATATCTTCTTGAGTTTAACAGATTCATTTGTTTAGTCTTCTTGTTTATTCACACCTACAGTGATTTGCCTCATTCATGATTTTCTGCATATTTGTCACACTTCAAGCTTTAGATCATCAAACAAATAACACAATAAATGCAAAATGCAATTTTTAAATGAGGATTTTATTTTTTAAGGGAAAACTGTTGAATTCCCTTAAACCTAGCAACATAAATATTAGTTTAAATTCAGCGCACACACAGAGACTGCTCTCCTAAAGGTTTTAAATGATCTTAGATGTAACTGGGACTCCCAAAAGCTCTCAGTCCTGGTGCTACTGGATCTAAGCGCAGCCTTTGATACAGTAGACCACGCTATTCTTTTAAACAGACTGAAACACATGGTGGGCCTCTCTGGTGCTGTACACAACTGGTTCACTTCCTATCTCTCTGACAGATCTTTTATGGTGAGTATGGATACATGCTCCTCTAAGATCCATAAAATGACATGTGGTGTGCCTCAAGGGTCGGTTCTAGGCCCTGTACTTTTTAATTTGTATATGCTCCCTCTCGGCGGTGTCATCAGGAGGCATGGAGTGAACTTCCACAGTTACGCTGATGACACGCAGCTGTACATCTCCGTGTCTCCTGATGACACCAGACCAATGGATGCCCTTTTT